TATATTGAATTGTCATGTCAGTTAGTTTTTTTTTTCACATCTGTGTAGCACCTCTTCCTCTGTTTCTTGCTCATAGTTTTTCATTTTGCTTGATTAGTGTTCAAGTATGTTAACATCTTTATTGGTGTGGTGATACCCTTCTGTTAACGCAGGTTCGCATTTGAATTCTAGAATCCAGTAAAGAGAATACACATGGTTTGCTTTTGGGTCTTGAATGCCTTATCAACATCCCATATGTAGATGATACCGAGGATTTAAAGGTATGATGATGTTGACATTCATGTCTTATGGTTGTCTATTTCTTATGTTATGATTATGATTTATGAATTCTGAAACTTGTGTTTTCAAAGTGTGATATTTGATAGTATACATAGCTAATACGTACAAAAATATAACTAAAATCCAGTTAAAAATTTATTTTATAGGTAATTGTATTTTGTTTTAATAGAAGGCACACTAGTAAACATATAGGCTCAAAGAACCCGACTCCTTGGTTTTTTGAAAATTAAAAAAACAAATTGAGAACACGACAAGTATTTTTGTTTATCTTTTGGTTGTGATTTTTTTTGAAATAATTATTACTCATATCATGTTTATGTGGCAGGAATACATACTTTCTGTAATGGTCATTTGGGATGTATTATATCTTTGTGTAATCACGACGGAAAAGATAACAAAGTTGTTATTGCACGTAATAACATGTAAGGGATGTTTTTGTATTGATTTGCTCGATGTTAAATGATGTTATACCTCTGTTTAATAATATGCCATTGCTTCTGTTGGCAGGTATGTTGTGGGACAGTATCTCCGGTTTTTAAGAGCTCATTGGACGTTTCTAAAAGCTGTTGCGAATAAGTTTCTTGAGTTTTTGCATGAGACTCATCCTGGAGTTCAGGTTATGTTTTCTTCCTATGTTTTCTGTCCTACTTTTTCTTATATCAACAGCTTAGTTTATGTCCCTGTGCGTGTACCTGTGTTTGTGTTCTCTGCGTGCTCATTTCTGTGTGCTCCATGTCTGTGCTCTGTGTTGTGTGCCTTTGTTTGCCTTTGAGTCCTTGTGTGTGCATGTTGTGTTTTGTATGTGTTTCTATGTGCGTGTATCTGTCTTTTTTGTGTTCACAGGTGGCAACCCTTCAGTTTAGCAACTCTACCAATATTCTTGAGGCATATTCATATGGTTCAAGTGAGGAACAAGTAAGTCTCTGTATTATGGCAAAATTGAATCCGTACATGCTACCAAGTTACTTGTGAAGCATCTCTCACAAAATTTTCCCCTTGTTTAGGGTATCATCAAAATTTTGCACTGTTCTTCACCTCATTTTGCAAGGCAGGTTTGTTTTCTTAGCTTTATGTCTATCTGTGATTGTATGTTGCAAGTATATATTCATGAAATGTCATGGGATCAGGTAAAATAGTGTGAGACTCGTCCTGGAGTTCAGGATATGTTTTCTTCCTATGTTTTCTGTCCTACTTTTTCTTATATCAACAACTTAGTTTATGTCCCTGTGCGTGTGCCTGTGTTTGTGTGCTCTGCGTGCTCATTTATGTGTGCTCTGTGTCTGTACTTTGTTGTGTGCCTTTGTTTTCCTTTGAGTCCTTGTGTGTGCATGATGTGCTTTGTATGTGTTTTTATGTGCGTGTATCTGTCATTTTTGTGTTCACAGGTGGCAGCCCTTCAGTTTGGGAACACTACCAATATTCTTGAGGCATATTCATATGGTTCAAGTGAGGAACAAGTAAGTTTCTATATTATGGCAAAATTGAATCCAGACATACTACTAAGTTACTTGTTAAGCATCTTTGACAAAATTTCCCCCTTGTTTAGGGTATCATGCAGAATTTTGCTTTGTTCTTTGCCTCATTTTGCAAGTATATATTCATGAAATGTCATGGGATCAGGTGAAATAATGTGACCTAGTTGGGATTTTTTATGCTTTGTGTATGTGTACAATATCATGCGTGTGGCATGTTTGAGAATGGACCCACATTGCTATATGCTAAATTGTCCTGACAATTAGTTTTTTTTCCACATCTGTGTAGCACCTCTTCCTCTGTTTCTTGCTCATAGTTTTTCAATTTGCTTGATTAGTGTTCATGCCCGTTAACATCTTTATTGGTGTGGTGATACCTTTCTGTTTATGCAGGTTAACTTTTGAATTCTGAAATCCAGTAAAGAAAATACATCTGCTTTGCTTTTGGGTCTTGATTGTCTTATCAGCATCCCATAAGTAGATGATACTGAGGATTTTAAGGTTGGATGATGTTGACATTCATGTCTTATGGTTGTCTATTTCTTATGTTATGATTATGATTTATGATTGCTGAAAATTGTGTTTTCAATGTGTGATAAATGATAGTATACATAGCTAATACATATAAGAATATAACTAAAATCCAGTTAAAATTTTATTTTCTAGGTGATTGTATTTTGTTTTAATCAAAGACACGCTAGAGAAGATATTGGCCAGAAGAACTCAACTCCTTTGTTTTTGGAAAATTAAAAAAACAAAATTGAGAACACGACATGTATCTTTGTTTATCTTTTGGTTGTGATTTTTTTTGAAATAATTATTACTCACATCATGTTTATGTGGCGCAGGAATACATACTTTTTGTCATGGCCATTTAGGATGTATTATATCTCTGGGAAATCACAACGGGAAATGATAACAGTTGTTATTGCACGTAATATCATGTAAGGGATGTTTTTGTATTGATTTGCTCGATGTTAAATGATGTTATACGTCTGTTTAATAATATGTTGTTGCTTCTGGTGGCAGGTATGTTGTAGGACAATATCCTCGGTTTTTAAGTGCTCATTGGACGTTTCTAAAAGCTGTTGCGAAGAAGTTTCTTGAGTTTTTGCATGAGACTCATCCTGGAGTTCAGGTTATGTTTTCTTCCTATGTTCCTTCTTTTTCTTATATCAACAGCTTAGTTTGTGTCCATGTGCGTGTGCTTGTGTTTGTGTGCTCTACGTGCTCATTTCTGTTTGCTCCGTGTTTGTACTCTGTGTTGTGTGCCTTTGTTTGCCATTGAGACATTGTGTGCTGTATATTGTATGTGTTTTTATGTGTGTGTATCTGTTTTTTTTTAGTTCACAGGTGGTAACCCTTCAGTTTGGGAACACTACCAATATTCTTGAGGCATATTCATATGGTTCAAGTCAGGAACAAGTAAGTCCCTGTATTATGGCAAAATTGAATCCGGACATACTATTAAGTTACTTGTGAAGCATCTCTGACAAATTTCCCCCCTTGTTTAGGGTATGATGCAAAATTTTGCACTATTCTTCATCTCATTTTGCAAGGCAGGTTTGTTTTCTCAACTTTATGTCTATCTGTGATTGTATGTTGCAAGTTTATATTCATGAAATGTCATGGGTTCAGGTGAAATAAGGTGACCTAGTTTTGGTATTTTTTATGCTTTGTGTATGTGAACCATATCATGCGTGTGGCATGTTTGAGAATCTTGCCCAATGAGAGTCACAATATGCACGAAGATGAAGATCACATGTGGAACTAAGAAGTAGTCCTTGCCCAGGATTACCCTTGATGTAACGTAAGACACACAATACTGCATCATAATGTTCTTGTAGGGGATGTTGGAGAAATTGAGAAAATGTATGCACAATATAACTTAACTCAGGTAGAGTGATGGTAAGATAGACAAGGCGACCTACAAGACATCGGTAACGTGTTGGTTCATCGTAAGCTGGACCATTTGCAAGGGCTAATTTATGATTATGGCACATGGGAAAATCAGCTGGTTTGCACCCCAGTAAGCCACATTCACTCAAGATATCCATAGGGAATTTGTGTTGACTAAGAAATAGACTAAATGAGCTATGAACAAATTCAATACCCAAAAAATATTTAAGTTTGCCAAGATCTTTGATTTTGAACCAAGATTGAAGATGACGCTTCACTTAATCACAAACCGAAGTGTTGTTTCCAACCAAAAGGATATCATCAACATAGACAAGAAGACAAGAACAACAACAAAGTCGTGATCTCGAGTGTAGGTGAACAACATGTAATCAACATTGGATTGGTGAAACCCAAAACTAAGAAGAGAGTCATGAAGTTTGGCAAACCAATTTATTGGTGATTGTTTGAGACCGTAAAGCGAGCGATTCAACTTGCATGCAGAACCAGGAGAACTAGTAGAAAAACCAGGTGGAAAATGCATATATACTTCCTCCTCAAGATCTCCATGGGGAAAAGCATTATGAACATCTAGTTGATAAATATCAAATCCCTTTACAACAGCTACAAAGAGAAGAATACACACACTTACCATTTTTGCAACGGGAGAAAAAGTTTCATTTGTAGTCTTGTCCTTCAATTTCGTTATGGCCAGCAATTACTAATCTAGCCTTATATCGTTCTACAGAACCGTCAAAATTATACTTGATTCAAAAAATCTACATGCAAGGAATTTCTTTTTTTCCGGGAGGGAGAGGAGTGACATCCCAAGTGTGGTTATCCTCAACGGCCTAAATTTCATATTTCATAGCCTACTGCCATAGAGGATCCTTCATGGCCTCTTTGAATGAACGTGGCTCTTTAGTGCTACTAACAGCTACTAAGAATTTATGATGTTGTGGAGAGAAAATATGGTTAGTGACAAAATTCTCAATAGGATATAGAATACCTGAGGAAACGTTGGAGAGAGTGTTGATAGAAGAAGGTGTAGTAGTTGTTCGACAATGATAGTCTTTAAGATGTGTTGGTGGGTGATGAGTTATACCTGTGCGACGAAGAGGCATGGAAGATGGAGATGGAATGTTAGAAGAGCTCCTCCTATCAACAGACTATGGGTTAAGTAGGGGTGCAAAATCCAAAGGGGGAGCATTGTCATCATACGATTCATATAAAAGCATAGGTGGGGAAGTAAGTTGTGTAGGAGTTGGAGGAATGTCTGTGGTAGGTAATACAAACAAAAATTCATTCTCGTAAAATTAAACATCACGAGAAACTAAAATCTCCTTAGTGTCTAAATCGAAAACCTTCCAACCTTTTTTGTTAGAAGGATAGCCCACAAAAACACATTTTCGTGAGCGTGCAGCAAACTTATCAGACGGTTTAGGAAAAATCATGGCATAACACAAGCAACCAAGGACCCAAATGTGATCATAACTAGGTGGAGTCTTATGAAGCACTTTATACAATCATTTTCCTTTAAGCAATGGAGTGGGAGTTTGGTTGATCAAATAAGCAGCAATGAGGATACATTCTCCCCATAATTTGATAAGTAAATGTCCATCAAACCGCAAGGCACGAGCCATGTTAAGAATGTGGCGATGACGGCATTCAATTCTACCATTCAACTGCAGTGTGTACGCACATGATAATTGTTGCAAAATACCACGATTGTCAAAGAAGGAACGAAGATGGGAAGAAATAAACTCAGTTCCATTATCGATTTGGACTCATTTAACCATAGAATTAAACTGAGTGTGCACCATTGTGATAAAATTTATTAAAGTATAACATGTCTCATGCTTGTCACGCAAAAGATAAACCCATACATGACGACTAAAATCATCCAAAATAGTGAGGAAGTAACGAGCACCCGATGAAGAAGTAGTTCGATATGGCCCCACAAATCACAATGAAATAAATCAAAAGAATGTAAACTATGTTTTTTATTAATAGGAAATGAACGACGAGTTTGTTTGGCTTCGCAACATGCATCACAAAAAGCCATTTTATTGGAACCGAAAAAAAATGGCAACAAAGTTAAATATTGTCGAGAAGGATGACCCAAGCGTCGATGCCACAAATCGAACGAAGAGTAACCTTAAATCGTATTGGTAGAAACTATTTGGCAAAGCACATACACCCCTTCATGTTTAACACCTTATCTAATCATCCTCCTCGTCTACAGGTCCTGTAGAAAACATGTGGAATTAGTAAACATAGCTATGCAGTCATTACAACATAGCAACTGAGATAGAAATCAAGTTGCACATGAGGGATAGCACATAAAGAACATTTGTAAGTAGCAACATAGAGGCTAGCCTAACGTCCCCACATTGGATTGCAATGGTACGAACACCATTAGGTAAGCTTACTAAATAGGGGGAAATGTTATAGAGGAGAGAGACGGTCCCAGTCAAATGTTGGGAAGCCCCACTATCCAAAAGCCAAGGGTGTTTGGAAGATATTGTACCCGATAATTTGTTGGTGGACGATTTGGAAGAAATAGCAATGGACATCAACTGTTGAAGCATGTCATGAGTAAAGTCATTAATAGATAATTATTTGTCAAAAGATACACCAGATAGAGTAGCATGGGCAGAACCAGAAGTGGGGCATCCTGGAGTAGAGCGACCTCGTCCACGTCCACGACTGGTATTAGGGCGATCGGGGTAGCCATGGAGTTTGTAACAATGAGAAACATCATGATTGGGGCGTCCATAGTGGGTGCAGGTGACACGTGACTTGGATGAATCAATGGGTGCATTAGTGGTGGCAAAGCCAAGAGCGTTGGTAAGGGTCTCAAAAGAACACACCATAGCTTTATGAGATTCCTGTTGAGTAACCATAGCAAAAACTCGATTAATGGTAGGAAGTGGATTGCTATTAAGAATCTGAGTAATAAGAGTTCCATAGACAACATGATCGAGGCCCATAAGAAAGTGATAGACGCGGTCATGTTCTTGTTCAGTAGAAACCAATTTTTGGAATGCACAATTGTCACCGGTGGTGCATAAGTCATACGTGCGGCTGGATTCCAGTTCATCCCAGATGGAGCGAAACATTGTGTAGTAATTTATAATTGATGTGCCATTCTGCTTCATAGTCGCGAGAGAAGTTTTGAGATGAAAAATACGGGGAATATTGGCAACTGCAAATCGTTCCTTGAGATCATCCCAAAGACCTTTTGCAGTTTCAAAACACTTGATGAATGGCTGCAATTGAGAATCTATGGTATTGTGAATCCAACTGTTAATCATGGAGTTACATAGGGACTAAGCATATGCTTCATCAGAAGCAACATCAGTGGGTGCGGGAACTGTGCCCATAATGAAACCGAGTTTGTTCTTGGCTTTTAATGCATTACGCATTAATTTTTCCCAATTTTCATAATTAGATTGTCCACATAAGAGTACAGTGGTGAGAATGATACCAGGGTGACCACGACATGAAGAAAAATGGTGATTTAGGGTCGGTAATTTTAAGAGTTGCGGAAGATATAATGAAAAAAAAATGACGTGAGATAATCTAGCTCTTGATACCATAAAGGAAGTTGCTATGAAGGAGCAGCTTGTGAATCTCATTCACGTGCTGGTCATTATATTGATATTCCAAATAACAAAAATATGTACAGGTGTTAAGTCTTATTTATACTTATTTTCATATATGAATTACTGAACAATTCTACCCATTCCATTCACTATTGCAATATAATTGTTCTTTTTTGATTCAATTTTGTGCAGATATAGCTAACCCAAAAATCATCTGAAAATACCTTGATACACCTTATTTGTTGTGCAGGTATTGAGTTGAAGAGTTGAGGTTGAAGACCCATGAGATTGGAATTTGAAAGAGCCAAGAGTAGGAGAAGTAGCTCACGCCGGGCATGAGAGTAACTGCGCAGGGCTTGCTCAAGATAGAGAGC